CTGTACATTCATCCCTAGGATGAAACCAGCTTGATCATGATGTATGATCTTTTAATTAGTTGCTAATACAGCTTGAAAGAATTTGAGTATTTTTCCATAAATGTTTATCAAAGAGACTAGTGTATAATTCTCTTTTATTCGTGTCCTTGACAAGGTTTTGGATGAATGTAATACTACTTTTGTGTGTGTGTGTGTGTTTTTTGTTTTTTGTCAGTCGTGGGGCCTGAACTCTGGGCCTGGGTGCTGTCCCTCAGCTCTTCAGCTCAGGGCTAGTGCTCTATCAGTTGAGCCACGGCACCCACTTCCGGCTCTTTCTGCTTATGTGGTGTTGACGAATTGAACCCAGGGCCTTGTGCATACAAGGCAAGCACTCTACCACTGAGCCACCTCCCAGCCCTGTAATACTACTTTGTAGAATGAGTTAAGTAGAATTATTTCTTTCTAGCTCAGAAAAGTATTTGAGAAGTATTGGTGTTAAGTCTTTGAATGTCTGATGGAATTCAATAAATCCATTGGTTCTGGGCTTTTCTTTGTTGGGAGACTATTACCGTTTCAGTCTCATTGCTTGATATACATAGGTTTAAGTGGCTTAAACCCTCTTGCTTTGATTTTTGTAGGTCAATTGAGTTTAAAAATGTGTCAATTTCCTTTAGATTGTCCAGTTTTCTGGAGTATTCAGAACTTTCAAAGTATTCTCATGAGCCTTTGGATTTCATTACTATTTGTTGTACTATTCTTTTTTCCATATCTAATTTTGTTGATTTGAGTCTCTTCCCACCTTTTGGCCAAATTAGCTAGGGGTTTATCAATTTTATTCATTCAAAGAATGAACTTTATTTCATTATTTCTATGTAAGTTATTTTAGTCTTCATTTATTTCTGCCCTGATATTATTTCTTTTTGTTTGTTAATTTTTGGCTTGTTGTTCTAGAAAGTTGAAGTGTATCATTTGAAGTATATCATTAGTCTATTTATTTGGGAATTGTCTTTTTTTAATGTTAGGTGTAAGATTTCCCTTAGCATGGCCTTTGCTGGTTCTAAAGTTTCTGGTAGGTTGTGTTCTCATTTTTATTAAATGCTAGGAGCTATTTTATTCCTTCCTGCTTCCTAATCTTATTTATACAATGGTTTAGTGGTCATTCAACAATATGTTGTTTAATCTCCATAGGTTTGAATATTTTCTGTGGTATTTTTTTCTGCTGATATGTGCTAATTTAATTCTAATACGAGCTAATAGAATAAAGGGAGTTATTTAGTTTTTTTTACATTTGCTAAGACTTCCTTTATATTGTAAAATGTGATTGTATGGAAAAATTCCACAGGCAACAGAGAAAGTTGTATTGGGCATCAACTGAATCACATACTCTGTAGATGTCAAGTCTATTTTGTCTCCTATGTCATTCAGTTCTCAAATGCTTTGGTGAGTTTTTATTTGGATCCTGAGAGTAGGATATTGAAGTATCATGCTATTGTACTAGAGTCCGTCAGTGTTTGTCTGTCTGGATGATCCTTTTCAGAGTTAGGGAAGTTTTCTGATTCTGGGTTTTTGTTGTTGTTTTTTTTGGTTTGTTTTATTGTTGTTATTGTTTTGTTTTGTCAGTCATAGGGCTTGAACTCTAGGCCTGAGCACTCTCCCTGTGCTCTTCAACTCAAGGCTAATACTCTACCACTTGAGCCACAGCACCACTTCTGGCTTTTATCTGTTTATGTGGTGCTGAGGAATCCAACCATGAGCCTCATGCATATGAGGCAATCACTCTACCACTGAGCCACCTTCCCAGCCCTCTTGATTCTGTTTTAGTGAATTAGTATCTATCCCACTAGTTGTGTTTCTTCTTCTATACACATAATTTCTAAGTTTGGTCTTTTGATGGTACCCCAGTAGTCTTCTAAGTTTCACTCTTTATTTTCTTAGTGTTTTTTTTTTCCAAAACAGTTGGATAATTAGTTCCTCTGCTTTTATCTTTAAGCCTTGATACCCTGTTTTCAACTTGTTCTCTTCTATTGGCTGGGCTTTCAATTGAGTTTTTCATTTGGTGTAAACAAATCTTCATTTCCAACATTTCAATTTGATTTTTTTCAAGATTTCTATGTTTATTGAATTTCTCTTTGATATCCTGTGTTGTCTTCTTTATTTCATTCAGCATTGTTTGTTTAAACTCTTGTTGAGCTCAGTTCTTCGAATTTGTTCATCTTACACATCACTGCATAAATTTTCATCACTGTTTAGCACAATGTCTAGGCACAATGGCAGGACCCTGTTATCCCTGGCAGCAGGAGAACACACAAGTAGGATAGCATCCCTGGGCTTAAAGCTAGACCCTACCTCTAAACTAATCAAGGCGCAAGGGCCATGTGTGTAGTTCAAATATAGTAAGTAGATCACCTAGCAAGTTTGAGGACCTGAGTTAAATCCCTTGTACTGTCCCCCCTTCCCCCCCCCGTCACCCTACAAAGAAAGATTTGAAGGAGTTAATACAAGATAAAGCTTGGATTTTGGTGGTGGTGGTAGTGTTCATCATGGGGCTTGAACTCTGGGCCTAGGTGCTGTCCCAGGTGCTAGCTCAAAGCTAGCCCTCTATCACTTTAGCCACAGCACCACTTTCGGTTTTCTGTTGCTTTATTGGAGATAAGAGTCTCAGGGACTTTCCTGCCGGGGCTGGCTTTAAACTGTTAAACTGCAGATCCTCAGATCTCAGCCTCCTGAGTAGCTAGGATTACAGGTGTGAGCCACTGACGCCCAGCTCATATCTTGGGTTTTTTGTTGTTATTTATCCTATGGTTGATTCTTTTCTCAGCCATTTCTGAGTGATTTCTTTAAAAATTGTTTCCTTAGGAAAGTGCTTATCTTATGAAACTTTCAAGTAACCTTTTTATGGCATATTGACAATCTCAATTTTAGATTTTTTTTAAATCCCTTACTAGTATATCCCATTTTGACCAGGTACCAGTGGCTTACATCTGTGACCCTACCTACTCAGGAGGCTGAGATCTGGAAGATTGAGTTTCCAGGCCATCCCAGGCAGAAAAGTCTATTAGATTTCATCTCCAGAAAAGTAGTAAAAATCCAAGCTGTAGGCATGGCTCCAGTGGTAGAGTGCCAGCCAAGAATGTAAGCTAGAGGTCCTGAGGGGGAAGGAGGAGGAAAGGAAGAAGAGATTTATCTCCATTTTGTGCTGGGAGTGTGTCTCGTCAGAGTACTTGCTTAGCAAGCACAAGGCCCTAAGTTTAAATCCCAATCTGCTTTTTAAAAAAATTAAAAGATACTCCATTTATTGGCTCAAATTTTTCTTTTAAAGACATGAGTTCTCACTGTTTGCACAGGCTGGCTCCACAAGCCTGGCTTTAAGCAATCTGCTTCAGTCTCCTACCTCCTGGGTAGCTGGGACTATAGGCATGGGTCAGATGCTCCTTTTCTCATTTCTGATTTTTTTAGTTCTCTCTTGAATTTGTCTGATACTTACATTTATCTTTTTAAAAAATTGGTTTTGACTTTAGTTACTATATTTGCTATTCTTAAATTGGTTCTTTCTGTTTTTGTCGCAACTTTACTATTTGGTTTGTCTTTCGGTCTTTTCTAAATTGGACTGATGAGTTTTCAGTTTTATTTAATAAAAAAAAGCATCTAAAGCTGGAGGCTAAGGTCAGTGGTAGAGCACCTGACTAGCAAGCATGAGATCCTGATTTCAAACTCTTAATACCACAAAAAAAAAAAAAAACGATAAGCATATAAAGCTGTGCCTTCTTTTGTTTATAACTTGGTTTATGACCTAGAGATTTGGGTGTCTATGTACTTACTATAATTAATTTACTTTTCATTTAGTGGAGTCCACTGCCTTTTAAGTGGTAAGTTTAGGAGTCAGATCTACTACACAGGTTGTATTCATAGGAAAAGATCTTATAATGTCTTTTCACTAGGGATCAGGAAAAAGGATCTACAATTATCTTTTTTTAGGATATTGAAATAGTTTAGAATTAGTCAATTCTTTGTTTTCAAACTCAGTAAATATCTTTGTAATACCTGATCCCTAGAATTCCATTGATGACACATCATCTTTTTTAAGAGTATGGACAATGTAAAGTATGGACAAGTAGGGGATAGAGGATCAAAATGATGATGTGTGTTGACTGACAATTTCATCTTACTTTCTGGATTCACTCATGTGTCCACTGAAGTGTCTTAGTTTTTCTCTGAGTGACTAGTTCTGGCTTCATGTGCAGTTGGGTTTAAAGAATTACTGTTACTAATGTTAAAAAAAAAAGCAGCATTATTGAGGTATGTTTTACTCATCCCAGTGTTTTTAGTAATCTTGTCAAGTGGTACGATCATCACACCATATGTTACTTTGTGTGTGTGTGTGTGCATGTGCATGCATACGTGCGTGCAGGTCCTCAGGCTTGAATTCAGGGCCTAAGCTCTGTCCATAAGCTAATTTTGCTTAAGGCTCCACTTCTATTGCTGGCACTGGTGCTTGAAGTCAGGGCCTGGGTGCTATCCCTGAGCTTTTTTTTTTTTTTTGTCGGTCATGGGGCTTGAACTCTGGGCCTGGGCGCTGTCCCTCAGCTCTTCAGCTCAAGGCGAGCGCTCTACCACTTGAGCTACAGCGCCACTTCCGGTTTTCTGGTGGTTTATTGGAGATAGGAGTCTGACGGTCTCTCCTGCCTGGGCTGGCTTTGAACCAAGATCTTCAGATCTCAGCCTCCTGAGTAGCTAGGATTACAGGCGTGAGCCACCAGCGCCCTCCCTGAGCTTTTTTACTCAAGGCTGGCATGCTACAACTTGAGCTATGCTCCATTTCCAGCTTTTCTTGTTGAGATTGGAGATAAAAGTCTCCATGATCTTTCTTGGCCAGACTAACTTATAACTGCAGTCCTCAGATCTCAGCCTCCTGAATAGCTAAACTTACAGGCATGAGCAGTGGGCACCTGCCTCATGAATAGTTTTTAATACAATGTGTTCTAAGTTCAATGTTCTACCTTTTCTAGAATACACATTATTGAATGATGCAGGCCACTTCCATGATGGAGGCAGCGACTGGAAAAGGCTACTACAATAATGGGGGAAGTCTGAAAAAAGGTGAGGATCTAGACCCATTGTATGATTTGCATGATGGGCACTAAATATAACTGTGCCCGACAATTTCCCTTCCACTGTTGCTGTTTTGTAAGTCATCCTTCCATGAAGGTAGTACATTCAGAGAAAGAGAGAGAGAGAGAGAGAGTGTGTGTGTGTGTGTGTGTATTGATCCTGTGGCTTGAATTCAGGGCCTAGGCATTATCCCTGAGTTACTTTTGCTTAAGGCTAGTGCTCTACCACTTGAGTCACAGCTCTCCTTCTGGTTTTTTGATAGTTTAGTGAACACAGGAGTCTCACAGACTTTCCTGCCCCAAGTGCTTCAAACCATGGTTCTCAGATCTCAGCCTCCTGAGTAGCTAAGATTATATGCAAGGATTATATGCCTAGCATATCAGCATGTTTTTAACTTGGGAAATTCCCTCCTATGATCTTTGGATATGGGAAGTTCAGGTGTAGTACCTTCCAGGAAAGCAGGTTTGGGGAGGGAAGGGTTGATAGGTCCCATTGCTTCTAAATAAAAAGTTGAAAATGTACATGTTAACATCTGCTGCACAGGAAGTCATATTTTTTTTCTTACCATAAATCTGGAATTTATTTTTCTATTTTTTTCTTTTAATGGGCATTGGAGTTTTAAATTATAGCCGTGCCTTCCCACTGAGTTACACTCTCAGCACTTTGGATTAGGTTTTTGTTTTGCTTTGCTTTGTCTTTGGTCTTGTGCTTTTTGCCTGGACTGTACTCTCACTACAGCCCTCCTACCTTTACCTTCAGTTTAGCTGGGATTATAGACATAAACTACAATACCCCTCATGTTCTTTGAGATAAAGATTTCACCAACTTTTGGCAGGAGGTCAAGAGGGCTGGCCTGCTTGAAAGTCCTATCTCTGCCATGTAGCTGGAGAATTTCTTTTTCTGATGGAGTGGTTGGAAAGAAAATAAGAAAGTAGCACCCGTGGCTTATGCCTGTAAATCTAGCCTTCTTGGAAGACAGAATAGGAGGCATTTGAGTCAGTCTATCCCTTGCAAAAAAGTTTACATGATTGTTGCCTCAAAAATAACCAGTGAAAAGCCAGTCGTCAGTGGCTCATGCCACTGTAATCCTAGCTATGCAGAAGGTTGAGATGTGAAGATTGCAATTCAAAGCCAGCTCAAGCAGAAAAGTCCCCATGAGACTCTTACCTCCAATTAATCACTCAAAAACAAGTGGTGCTGTGGCTCACCCCGGCGCCAGTGGCTCACACCTGTAATCCTAGCTACTCAGGAAGCTGAGATCTTAGGATCACAGGCAGGAAAGTCTGCGAAACTCATTTCCAATAAACCTCCAAAAAACAGGAAGTGGCCTGTAGCTCAAGTGGTAGAGTGCTAGCCTTGAGAAGAAGAACTGAGGGATAGTGCTCAGGCCCAGAGTTTAAGCGCCATGACCGACCAAAAAAAAAAGAGAGAGAGAGAGCTAGAGCACTAGCCTTGAGCACAAAGAGGTGTAGGAACAGCACTCAGGTCCTGAGTTCAAGTGCCACAACCAACAACAACAAAACAGCAAAAAACAGAGCTGAGGTGTGGCTCAACTGGTAAAGCCCCAGCCTAACAAGTAGGAGGCCCAGATTTCAAATTCTAATACAGGAAGGGGTGAGGGGAAAGAGGGAGCAAAGAAAGAGGAAGAGGGAGCACTGCTGGCAGGAGCATAAAAATGGAAATGACTGGATTATACGTGCTAAAAAATATATGTGGCCTAAAGTGTTACATGATATTCTGCAGTACAACAGAAATCCCACCACCTTATTCAGGAGCCACAGTTAAAACAGAAAAGATTTAAGATAATAAGATTTAAATTTATTTTAAAAATAAACAAGTTAAGAAACAAATGGACTTAAAAATGTGAGGTGTGGTCAGGTGTCAGTGGTTCATGCCTGTTATTCTAGCTTCTCAGGAGGCTGAGATCTGAGGATTGAGGTTTGAAACTATCGGCTTAAGCAGGAAATTCTCAGATTCTTCCCTCCAATTAACCACCCAAAAAAGCCACAAATGGAGCTGTAGCCCAAGTGGTAAAGTGCCAGCCTTTAGTAAAAAAGCTATCATCCCCTGACTACAGGCCCAGTACCAACACTAAAGAACAAACAAAAAATGGAGGTGTTGGTGTTAAGTATAATTAGTGTCAAACACTGTAAGAGATAAAGGGTATCATTTTTCAAGTGACAAAGCTACATTGTACAGTGAAGATATCATTGTGAATCCTATTGGAACGATCAATAAGCTGTGCATTCTGTGCATTCCTGCATCAGGATTGGAAGTCTAGGGAATGGCTTCTAGAGATTGGATGTGAAAATGGTTATCCATTCACTTGCAGCTCAAAATACACTGCAAATTATGAACTTTAAAATGTTTAATCTGGAGAACAATGTAAAAAGAAATATTAAAAATAGATTACTTAGCCAGGTACCAGTGGCTCACACCTGTAATCCTAGCTACTCAGTAGGCTGAGTTCTGAGAATTACAGTTCAAAGCCAGCATACGCAGAAAAGGCCATGGGACTCTTTTTTTTTTGGGGGGGGGGGTCCGGTCGTGGGGCTTGAACTCTGGGTCTTGGTGCTGTCCCTCAGCTCTTCAGCTCAAGGCTAGCACTCTGCCACTTGAGCCACAGTGCCACTTCTGGCTTTTTTTTTTATTCTGCTTATGTGGTGCTGAGGAATCGAACCCAGGGCCTCATGCATGCAAGGCAAGCTCTGTACCACTGAGCCTCCTTCCCAGCCCCCATGGGACTCTTATCTCCAATAAACTACTCACCCAAAGCCAGAAGAGGCACTGTGGCTTAAGAAGTAGAGCAATAGCCTTAAGCAAAAGAAGCTCAGAGACAGCCAGTGCCCAGGCCCTAAGTTCAAGGCCCAGAACCAGAAAAAGAAAAAAAGAAAAAAAAAGAATACGCAACTAACCTGCTACATATAAAATAACCATAGGTTATATAAGATATATGGTATGACAGTTAAGACACTACTATACTGTTGTACAAAGAGATAATAGGTTAACAAAACAGAGTTAAGTAAAAATAGACTCCTAGACAATTACGCTATAGAAACCAGAGGACTTACAAATACATAAGAATACTGTTGAAGCCAGATGCTGGTGGCTCAAGGGCTGTAGTCCCAAGTGCTCAGGAAGCTACAATCTGAGAATCACAATTTGAAGCCAGCCCATGCAGAAAAGTCCCCCAGATGTTTATCTCTAAAATAACAAAAAAAAAAAAGGCAAAGACTAAAGATGTGGCTGTAGAGCATTAGCTAAGCAACCGTGAGGCCAAGTTCAATCTGTGGTTCAGGTCAGGGAGGGGAGTAGGAGAGGGTCGAAGAGGATTAGGGGGAGATACAGACACTGTTTAACTCAGAAGAAAACAAACTATAGATTGCCAAGCACCAGTGGCTCATGCCTGTAATCCTAGCTACTCAGGAGGCTGAGATCTGAGGATCACAGTTCAAAGCCAACCTGGACAGGAAAGTCTGTGAGATTCTTCTCTCCAGTTCACCACCCGAAAATCAGAAGTGGCACTGTGGCTCAAGTGGTAGAGTGCTAGCCTTGAGCTGAAGAGCTGAGGGACAGTGCCCAAGCCCAGAGTTCAGGCCCCAGGACTGACCAAAAACAACAAACGACTACAGGTTATTCTCAAATGGTGTTAAGACAGTTGACCATTTGGGAACAAAATTAAGTTAGATCCCTATCTTATGCTCAAGAGAAAAATGAATCGTAAGGGGCTGGGAAGGTGGCTCAGTGGTAGAGTGCTTGCCTTGCATGCATGAGGCCCTGGGCTCAGCACTACATAAGCAGAAAAAGCTAGAAGTGGTGCTGTGGCTCAAGTGGTAGATCACTAGCCTTGAGCTGAAGAGCTGAGGGACAGCACCCAGTCCCAGAGTTCAGGCCCCACGACCGGACCCAAAAAAAAGAAAATGTATTTTCAATTGTCTAAATTTAAAAAAAACAAAAAAGATGAAAACCATAGTTCTTTCTTTCTCTCACTACCTACCATTCCTAATTAGCTGCCAAGATTTGTCAGTTGTGGAATATCAGTGTCTTCTCCAGTCCTGCTGCTAAACCCTTGATCTGCTTGCCTTTACTTCCCTCTTTTCACACTTTATCGTTACTGTTGCCACCGCTGTGTCCAACTCATTCCAGTCACATGACTAACCCTTAAAGAGATTTAGTGGTCTCACCGGCCCTAAAATAGAAGCCAAATGCTTTAGCTCATCATAAAAGGTCTCTGACAATTCATAATTCCTGTCACTCCCATAAAATATCGTACAGTTTTCTAACAGTGCTATGTTCTTTCATGTAGCTAGATGCATTTGCTATTAGTTTTGCCCAAGATAACTTACGTTTTCTTTTTCTTTTTTTTGGTTGGTCGTGGGGCTTGAACTCTGGGCCTGGGCGCTGTCCCTCAGCTCTTCAGCTCAAGGCGAGGGCTCTACCACTTGAGCTACAGCGCCACTTCCGGTTTTCTGGTGTTTTATTGGAGATAGGAGTCTCACGGTCTCTCTTGCCCGGGCTGGCTTTGAACCGCGATCCTCAGATCTCAGCCTCCTGAGTAGCTAGGATTACAGGCGTGAGCCACCAGCGCCCGGCTATAACTTACGTTTTCTAGTAAACACTTTGTTCTATATTTTGGGAGTTTTTTATTTTTACATTTTTTATTATTTCTTTAAGTACGTGTACAAAGAAGTTTTCATTCTACAAAACAGAATATGAGCTCTTGTAAACACTTTTTACAAGTTAAATGTACTCAATTTTCCTTTCTTTTCAAAATTGCCTGCTCCATAACCACCCTCTTGTCAGGCATTTGATTGCATTTTGGGTGTTTATCTAAGACCCTGGGGGAAGCCAAGAACATGTAGATGCTTTTCCCCTATTTTTTACACATTGCTGAAGACTGGTACTAGGAAGCACTCAAAAATTTATTAAATGACCTTTAAAAAAAAAAAGGCTTCCTGTGAGACCTGTCAATAAATAAATGGCTACTCCATAATAGAAAACTCCTTACCATTAAAAATTGAAGAAGATCTTGGCTCCTGTGTTTTCTTAGATTGTTGTAATGAAATGCCATTGACTGAGTGACTTAACATGGTTATGTCTGGAAAAGCATCTCTTCCTAGCTTGTGGATGGCTATGTTCTTGTTGTGTCTTCACATAAGAAAAAGGACAAAAAGAATGCTCAGATGTCTTTAGAAAGGCACTAATCCTATCATGAGTGTCCTTTCCTCATGACTGCATATAAACCTGATTACCTCCAAAAGCTCCATCTCCATATAACATCACACAGCTATAACTTAGGCTACAGCTTCAGTATACAATACTAGAGGTGATAGTTCAGTTTGTGGCAGCTACCATAAGAGGTATTCATTGTGGGTAACATTTAAAAGTATTTCTACATTAGGAAAAGTTTGCACCAGAGGATGTCTAAGGTCTTTTCTAATATTTAGTGTCTGTAGTATTGCTGTTAACATTTGATTCTCTTTTTTAATCAGATAAATCTTCTAATCCCAAGAAAGAAAATTCATTGTCTTCCAGTAGTTCTAATGAGTTCAAATCAACTTTTTCTGCTGATGAGTGGAATTCCTTGTCACTAAAGCAAAGAGATAAGGACAAAGGAATCAGCAATATTGACAACATGCATTTATTACAGTCATCTTTTGCAGCTAATCAAGAAACTAATATAGAGAGTACTCACTGTCAGTCAAGTGAGTTTGAAGATGGTATTGACTATGCCTTTTTGAATGAAACATACTCTATTCATTATTCAGAGTCAAAACTCAAAAATGAAAATGTTACTCTTTTAAATTCAGATTTCAATCCTGGAATACTTAAACGAGAGGAGAACTTTTTTGATAGTTTGGAACATCAGGATAATAAGACTATTAGCTTAGAAAGGATCCTCAAAGTTTCAGATGCTGACTATAAAGAAAATGGTGAAGATATGCAAAAGTATGATATAGATGAAGACTCACAGCAGGAGTATCACAGTGCAGAGCAAGAGTATATAAGTAAGCATTTATCTTTTGACCAAGCAAAAGCATTAAGTTTATCTGATCTGGATGTTGTTGAATTAACAAATCCAGGGTATGGAGTCAGATGTGTTAGCAATCTAGAAGAAAGTTGTCATGTTGAGTTTGGGAGTGGTTCTACTACATCTTTGAATTCCCTTAATGCTTTTACACAAGAATATTCACCTCATGTCTCTAAATTTCAAAATTCTGTTATATTAAAAGAATACCATGAACCAGACCTTGGAAGGTATAATGAACAAGAGACAGTATTTGATGACATTGTACAAAGATGCAGTTCTCTTGGGAGCCAAGACTCTCAGTCTAAGAGTGGTTTCTTAAACACTCAAAAAGCACTAAAAACAAAAACTTATACTAGAAAAGTGAAATCTCAAGTATCAGAAAGTAAAGATTTTTGTGGAAATACAGCTGCTGATGACAGATCATTACATCACTTTGGAGACCCTAGCACATTACCTCAGGACAAATCTTTTGAGACACTGCAGCCACACAACAATTGCCAGACATACTGGAACTCTGTTTTTGATGATTCAGTCATTTCTGCCTGTGGATATTCCTATTATGAAAGCCTGCAAAGCACTCCTGAGCCAGGCTTGGGTTTTTCTGCTGTCCTACCAAGGATTACAATCAATCAGGCAACCGAAGAGGATCGTTCTCTTCATGTTGCTCATCCTACAAATAAAATGTTCTCTCATGATATGAAAGGAACATGTCCCAAATCAGTAACAAATACAGCAAGTTCTGCGATCACAATTAATCAAGCAGTGGATGTTAGCACTGATTTTAGGGCTTGTTTCACAACCAGCAGGGCAACAAGCGCAGCTTTTTCTGTAGTATCTACATCAAGCAATACAGAGATAACCATGATGAGTAAAAAGCGGCCTGCCCAGCGTCACTGTGACAGTCATAGGAGTGTGGGTTGTAACACTGACAGGCTACGCGATCATGACTGTGTGGAGACGCAGACACTGCCCTTGGAAGGATCAGGAAAATCTCTCTCACCAAATGGAAGTTTCCTAAATAAGGTAAAACCAGCATGATTCATAACAATTGTTATCTTTATAGGTTTATTTTACTTAATGAAGTTCTGCTGATTTGGTTTTGTTCTATTGTAAGAAAGTATTTTCTTGTTGAGAAAATGCTAGTTGAAGGGAAAGAGTTAACAGATTGCCATCAGCTCTATCCTCTGGTGGTAAATATGCCACAGAATCCTTTTAAAGTTTGATTTTATATTTTTACCAATTTGGAACTCCAGAAATGTATTGTTTGCCAGATGTTTATAATTCAATTTGAAATTTTGTCTCTAGGATTCCCAGGAATTAAAAACATCTGATGCCCCAGACATAAAGAAGCATCCTGAAAGGTAAGCCAAATATAGAGGCTTACAGATGTGTATGGGAAAATCTCAAAGTGGAAATTGTGCTCAGTGTAGCCTGCTTAGCCATGTAGGATTACAGATAAAAGAGACTTCTAAGAAATTGCCTTATCTGGACATCGGTGGCTCACGCCTGTAATCCTAGCTACCCAGGATCGTGGTTCAGAACCAGCCTGGGCAGGAAAGTCCATGAGACTCTTATCTCCAGTTAGCCACCAGAAAACCAGAAGTGGCGTTGTAGCTCAAGTGGTAGAGCACTGGTCCTGAGCTGAAGAGCTGAGGAACAGCGCCCAGGCCCAGTAGTTCTTCAAGCCCCCAACCAACAACAACAACAATAAAAATTGCCTGCTCCCTTCACTTACCTTCTAACATAAATCATAACATTTATAGGACTTATTGAGACTCATGTCATCTTTTATTTATTCAAACCAAGCTTATACTAATTTAATTTTCCATTTTCTTTTGATTCACCTATAGCTCAGAACAAAATAGCACCTATGGGAAAATGTCATATACGTGAAGTAAATAACCACATTCCTTGAAGCATTTTGTCTTAGTTTTAATTCGTTGTTTTATTTACTTTGCATCTCTTGCTGATAATTAAGGCATAGTAGAGACTCAGGAAGTAAGAGGGGAGAGAAACATGAAAACTAAGTTAGTTCCTATGCTCTGGAATCATTTATTTTTTTCCCCTTCATTTTTCCAGTGAATTTCATCTGGTATCCCAACTCTCCACAGTTCAGTAGAAAACTGGATTTTCCAAAATAGCTGGAAGTAGCAATTATGGGAACAAGGAAAATCTCCCAGAACTGTTAACCCTCAAAAAAATGTAACAACTTGGGCTTTTTGAAACATCATCATAAAATATTTGCTTTTACTAGTGTAAATTATGTCTTTTTTTAACAGTCATACATTTTAGAACAATTTCAATCTTAAAATACCTATAACTGTAAAAAGATGTTGCTGGAAGTGTAGTTCAAGTGGTAGAACCACCTGCCCAGTAAGTGTGAAGCCCTGAATAACTGCCCCAAAAATGTGTTTAACCAGGCACAGTTGGCTCACATCAATAATCTTAGCTACTTGAGAGGCTGAGATCAAGAAGATTCAGGTCCAGACCAGCCAGTAAAAAGTGGGATGAGGCATCATCTCAGCTAGGCAGGAATCATAAATAGGATCTAAATGATAGGATCATGGTCCAGCCGACCTGGCAGAAAATAAGATCCTACTCAAAATTAAAAAGCAAAGGGGGCTTGGGAGTGTAGCTCAAATGGTAGCCACCTTCCTAACAAGCACAAAGCTCTTGAGTTCAAACCCCTACTACTATGGGGGGAAAATTTTTTGACCACACATTCACTTAAAAATTGCAAACAAGGAAACATCATTGACTCTGGATAACTCATTTTTCTCAGGATAATGAAAGTATTTCCTTTGGGTTGAATTCTTTTTTGGTAAAAAGAAAGTAAGGATTTTAAAATTGTTTACTTACTTGACTCTTAAAATATATTTAGCTGCTTCTTGATACCCTTGTTTTCTGAAGCCATTGGGTATGCCTGTATCCTCTCTCCTTAGTAAGAATTGACTTGAACTTGACAAGAGAAATGAAAGAAGTTTAAAATTGTTCTACAGTGATGTTATTATCATTCGAAAACCCTTGGAATCTTACTAGTACTATTTTTTCTGTTTTAAAGGGAATTTCAGCTTTCTAAAGAGATTGAGAAGAATTTGCCATCCACATGCTGTCAGAAAATAATGCAAAGAGCCATAAAAGCTGAGATGCACCTTTTAAATGTTCACTATGAGATGTGCCATCGCCACTGTTGTGATATCTACAAACTTGTAATGGAAAATAGACCAGGATTATATAGGTGTTTTATTAACTCTGTAATTTGTTATTTAAGTTCAGTCTAAAAAAATTTTAATTTCCATTTTTTCCAGGCAAAATAAGGGATGGGTTATAAGTGAAGAACATGGTAGCTGTCTTAGGGGTAATGGACTTTAACAAGTAACACTTCTGACTTTCACAGTGAAGCAACAGTGTGTGATTGGAAAGCTGTCCAGTGAGAAGATAGCTATGCAGTTTCTTTATAATGTCCAAGTAAGCATAACCAACCAGAGGCTTTTGCATGGTTATTCTACCACATTCTCTCTGGCTTATCTATTGAGGATTGCTTATACCGTGACAAGGAAACATCTACCATGGTTCTTTTTTTCTTAACTATAATAGAATTAGAACTAAGTAAATAATATGTTACTATTGTTAAATGGGTGACTTGGACCCAAATAATTTAGTCTTTAACTTTGACCAGGAATTTATCAAGTACTTCTGCTAAGAAGGAATTGGGATCAGCACTACTTTCAGTTTGGGGAGACTTAAAAGTTAGATATATGAATTTGAAAGAAAAACTCCAGCAGGGCATACAACTGGAAGAGCTGCCCCCACTGTCAGTAGAGTCGAAATTGTTGTCTACCTTCTCTACTTTTGCTTCCAGGGTACGTATGTGTTTTAACAATCAAATGTTTGCTTCATTTAGACAGAAAGCATTTTTTATTATTATTTTTAAGTAGTTATACAAAGAAGTTCCCATTCTACAAAACAGTATATGAATACAAGATGGACAGAAAGCATTTTAAACAAGCATTTTTTTTCCTTTTTTCTGTTTCCAGCTAATGAAAGAAGACTCACATGAGTAAGTTAAAAATCCATCTAATTTAAAACTTACTTCAGCTAAAAAAGCTATTTATTTCAGTTCATTCAGAAAACTGATACATCCCTTAATGAAATGTTTTCTGTTCAGCTTTTTAGGAGTGGATTCCGAACTAGATAACCAAGGCACACCTGACAGCGATGTGTCTACAGGTCCAAAACAGGCACACTCAGAAGTGAGTTTTTAATAGTTCATCGGTATAAAAAAGGCACACTCAGAAGTGAGTTTTTTATAGTTCATTGGTATAAAAAAGGCACACTCATAAGTGAGCTTTTTATAGTTCATCGAGCTTTTATAGTTCATCAGTATAAAACAGGCACACTCAAGCGAGCTTTTTTACAGTCCATCGGTATAAAAAGAAGTGAGTTTTTTTAACAGTCTATTGGTATAAAAAAGGGACACCCAAAAGTGAGTTTTTTTAATAGTTCATCAGTATAAATCTTTGGCATTATGGCTTTTTAAGAAAAGGTTAATTTTCAGTAACCCTTATGTCCTCCATTTCATTCAAGTGGCTTTTGTTGCATAGTACTCTCAAAGGATACGTGAGCATAGTAGGAACATGATGATATGTTTAGGTTCAGTCCCATTCAGGTTGTTGTCAACAATACATGGGTGAAGTATGGTGGCCATAAATTATCATCAAGCCAAGAGACTTGTGAGTGCACAGAAGTAGTACTATTAATAATTACTTCACCATGAGAGTAGATGAAAACCTTGTACTGCCCCAGACAAACAATGATGTATTATCACCATCATGTTAAGTCAGAAGGGTTTAGACTACTATTTTGTTCCTTCATCTCATTAGGTAAAGTAACATTTCCTTCATTTTGTACAAAAAGTGTTTTAATTCCTCCTTACAAAATCTGTCTTAGATGTTTAATTTCTCATGTTCTCCCAAGGAAATATTTGTGAGATGGTAACTGAGAAAGAGTGTTTAACTAGTGTAAGAACACAGTGCAAATTGTGAAGTGACAAAGAAACATACGTTATATTCCAGTATCAAAGGAGGAAGCAGTGGGGCCTGGGGTAGAAACACTGGAGTTTGTATGCCCTTTTATAAAGTAATCCTCAGATGAATTCCAGAGACACAGTGAAATACTTGATGAAAGTAGCTTTCTTTCTCCCAAGGCAAATCACTTAATCAAATTATTCCATTGTTAAGCTTAAGTTTTTTTGTTTCTTCTCCATCCTGGGGCTTGAACTCAGGGCCTGGCTACTATCCGTGGGCCTCTTTATGCTCAAGGCTAGTGCTTGTTCTACCACTTAAACCATAGCACCACTTTAGGCTTTTCCTAAGTAATTTATTGGAGATAAGAGTCTCATTGACTTTCTTGCTGAGGCTGGCTTTGAACCAATATCCTTGGATTCCTGAGTAGCTAGGATTACAGACATGAGCACCAGTTCATTGTTAAGCTTTAAAGAAAAAAAAAATGGGGCTGGGAAGGTGGCTCAGTGGTAGAGTGCTTGCTTTGCATGCATGAGGCCCTGGGTTCAATTCCTCAGCACCACATAAGCAGGAAAAACTAGAAGTGGCACTGTGGCTCAAGTGGTAGAGCACTAGCCTTGAGCTGAAGAGCTGAAGGACAGCACTCAGGCCCACAGTTCAGGCCCCACGACAGAAAGAAAGAAAGAGAAAGAAGAGAGAGAAAAAAACCTCAACTCTGCATACAGACTTAACCAAAGCCAAATTGTGGTACAAATTGTGGTGCCAATGATGTTGTTCAGTGTTAAGTGCTTACCTAGCATGCACAAGGCCCTGGGTCCCACACCAGTACTGAAATCAAACAGAAAAAAATAAGAGCACAACAAACAAATATATAATATTTATAAACTTAGTTTGACTGTAAGTTATTCAAGTTATTTTTATATCTGTCTCACTAAATTAACTGGTCACTAGAGAAAGCTGCCACAGTGTAGTGTTTCTAAATTTCTGTTGATGTGCCATCTTCACAGTTTACCATAGCAATATAAACTTGTGGTGTTAATTTGTATTTTTCTTTAAATTACTCTTGTTTTTCTTTTGTTGTTCTAGCATCTCACACATGCTAGATAAGCACTCTACCACATGCTACATCTCCACCTCACAAATTGCTCTCTATTTAAAATAAATTTATACACAAAGAACAGCTTAATATTTTATACAGAAAAGAAATTTTACCTTTAATAGATAAAAGGTATACACTAAATCAAATATATAAGAAAATAATAAAAGCCAGGTGCCAGTGGCTCACGCCTGTAATCCTAGCTACTCAGGAGGCTGAGATCTGAGGATTGAGTTTCAAAGCCAGCCCAGGCAGAAAAGTCCGTGAGACTCTTATCTCCAATAAACAACCAGAAAACTGCAAGTGGTGCTGTGGCTCAAGTGGTAGAATGCTGGCCTTGAGTTGAAGAAGTGAGGGACAGTGCCCAGACCCAGAGTTCAAGCCCCACGACTGACCAAAAAAAAAACGAAAGAAAAGAATATTTTTATATATACTTCAGAAATCATCTCAAATACTTATAGTGTGTGTATGCCACAAGTTGTTAAATAATACTAGTATTTGCACATTGTTCCTGCAGACTAAGTTCAAATACTAATTCTCATCAACTTAAACCCAGTTTAAGTTTTGTAAAGCCAGCTTGGTAATGATTTTATTCTCATAATCTTTATTAATTGGGGTGGCTAAACAAGGCTAGTGAAAAGTTCTTGTCATATAGTAGGAATGCAGTAATTGTTAGTCCTTATTACTTGTTTTTGTTGTTATTATCTTTATTCTCAGATGTCTTTATTACCTGATAATAGCCACCCTAAACAAGATATATCACCTAAGAAAGATGATTTGGAGAATGATGATATAAATGTAGACTTTAGTCAACTGAAACTTGATGATAAAGGTCAGTATAAAAATGTTTTATGTAGTTGTCAGAAAACATATTAATATATTCCTAGTATTCATTAGTTTTTTTTCTCTAAAAGATTATGATCATTGGAAATAAAGCTGTGGCTCACAGTAGTAGAGTCTAGCCTTGAGCAAAAGAGCTCAGGGACCATGCCCAGGCCCTGAGTTCAAGCCCCATAACCAACAAAATAAATAAAAAATAAATTTTTTAAATTTAAGAAAAAGGTTATGATCATTCCAAAAAGATAATTTACTTTTAATAAAATAGAGTACTACACTGTAATCCCTTCAAAATGTTTGCTGTTGTTCTATTGCATAAGATAAGTTTTTTCATCAGTAAAGAACAACTCAGAAAAGTAAGGCTTTACAGGTTTGGAATGAGTGTTAACTAAAGACAAACTAAGAAGCAGATCACTCAGACTAAAAAGAACTTTGTGTGCGTGACTACCAAGAATCCCTTCTTATAAAATCTGTGCTCTGGTTCTCTTACTTTACATTTATATGTCAAACTCTAGTAGTCGTAAGTTTTCAGCCAGGTGTCAGTGACTCACCCTTCTAATCTTAGCAGCTCAGCACTCTGGATCTCAGTTCAAAGCCAGCCCAGGAATAAAAGTCCTCCAGACTCTGTTTTCAAAATAGCTACCAGAAAGTGGGCTGGAGCAAGGCTGAAACAGTGCCAGCCAGGCAAGCATGAGGCCCCAAACTAGCATACAAAGCAAGTTTTCAGAGGGTTACATATTCTGCATACGTCAGCTACATTATATATAGCTCATTCTTTGCTCATAGATCATGTGTTTGATACCTTAGAGTGCAGAAATTACCATGAACGAACTGAAGACTGGTTTGATGCTACAGAAAACCTAACAGGAGTAAACTTCTCAGGAATACAAGAAAATCAGATTGAAAATGACAGAGAGAATCTGAAGTTTCCACTAGGTTGGTTCTTAAGAATTTACTGAAGGGGCTGGGAAGGTGGCTCAGTGGTAAAGCGCTTGCCTTGCATGCCAGAGGCCCTGGGTTCGATTCCTCAGCACCACATAAGCAAAAAGAAAAAAAAGCCGGAAGTGGCGCTGTGGCTCAAGTGGTAGAGCTCTAGCCTTGAGCTGA